TGACATGTTTGCGAAGTGCAAACCGCAATTTTTTAATCAAACAAAAATTTATGACATTCGAGCCGCGAGATTTCATACCTACTGAAATTATATGATATTAGAGCCACGATATTTCAGACAAAAATAGGACTTTTCCAGACTAGCTGCAGAGTGTGTTCATCCATTACAAACAGCCTCAGACAGGACTCTAAACTCTGAAGTCCTCCTCTTCCTCTGTAGATGAATGACATTTTCTTTAATTTGTGCATGTTTCTCCTTTATTGATATGATATTATCATATTCATATAGCAATTTATAGCCTATTATTGATGTGATATTACCATATCCTCCATATCCATGGTCCATGCCCCATGGACACATGCCAAATGATGCCATTGACATTGAGCAGCCCTGAGCACTGAGCATAGTGGAATTCTATGAAGAGAGGTACTTATGGCGGTCCACCGCCGTGCGGCGGTCTTAACCCTTCACAAGGCCCCATGCCCTAGGCCCTTGGGCCCATCTTGCAAGTTGCAATGGTCTAAACTCAACGGTTCAACCCCATGGTCTCATCACAACTCCCTTTAGAAATATGTGGAGTTTCGAAATTGATATAAATAAATCAATAAATATTTGAACTGGGAAATTCCTTAGTTACTTATGTTGGTTCCAGAATGATATCAATGACGTAAAAAATGACAATGACATTGGTTAAAGCCTCAGCCATGATTCTAGCTCTGCTCAGTCCTTACACTTTTACCTCGTAATTCATGATGTTAGAACTTCGATGTTCAAATGTTGACACTACTGTCAAGTGTCAATATCACAATCAAAATTATTTCACAATAAGAAATATGTTATAATATCACAATCAAAAATATTATTCATAAATAACCATCGATTTCAATGCAAAACTGTTCGCATCTTTGCTGCAGTGTCGTGATGTCCAGGCTTTGACCTTATGACCTTATGATGAGTTCGGGACTTCCTAGTCCCAGGTCACGCTGATGCACCGCCTTTGTCATCCTCTGTCTCCGAGTCATCGTCGGATGTAACGTTGGGCGTGTTCCGTCTATTTGCCCTCATTTGGGCACGCTGATGCAAGATGCTGTTGCTTGTCACTTGCTGATGGTAGTTTCCCATTACTGGACAATCCGGGATCTTTCTCAACCAATTGTCCAGTTGTCTCTTGAATGTTGCAAGGGTAAACTCCCCTCCTCTCAGCACTTTTGGCGAGGCATTAAAGAGCCTCCGTCCTACCACGGACAGTGATCCCTCACAAAGAGTCTGTACTCTGGCCGCGGCTTGGTTATTAAATGGGCGAATCCTGCACAGTCTCCCCCTTCTTTCGTTGTAATATGTCCTTATTTTGGAGGTCTCACTCTCAAAGTTGGGATCCAGTCCGTTTATCATCTTCCAAGTGTACAGTATGATATACCTTTCCCTTCTTCTCTCCAGTGAGTACAGTTCCAGGTGTTTCAGCCTTCCCCAGTAGTTTAGGTTCAGCTCCCTCATGCCGCTGATCCTGTACGTGAAGGTACGCTGCACCAGGGTTGGCAATGATTAAATCAATATGATTAAATCATGTGATTAAATCACTTGACTTTTTTATAAAAAAAATAATGATTTTTTCGATTTTTTTTATTTTTTCATATATTTACAGATATTGAGTGGCAGTCTTTAATTTATATTGAGGTATTGTTATTCATGGTTTAGTATAAATGTACTATGAATGACAAATTGGTATATAAACTTGTTGCCTTTAGTGTGTATTAGGTTCCAATAAATTGAATGTTTTTGGTACAGAGGCATCAAGAGTGCAATACATTGTACGTAGCTAGCAGCTTAGCTAATTCTTATAAGGCTATAAGTAGTCTTAACTATTTGACTATTTGTTATATATTGATTACAATATACAATTTTAATGTGTTAGCTAGCTTATACATGGTGGGGCAGAACTGATTAAACAGATTTGAGGCAAAATAAAAGAGTAATGGAGGTACATAAAGAAGAAAGTTTATTTTCCTCATGATTAGCATAACATACCATTTAAAATACTTATGTTTTGAAAACAATATCATGAAGATGGGGTTTGTTTGCTGCATCACACTGTTGGAGTTGTTCTTGGAAGTTTCCTACAGCACATTCACACATATGGCAAGGTATGGCCATAACCTCTGCTGCAATAATCTGTTCCCTTAGCTGTGGTAGGGTGTGAGGACGACTTCTGAACCCCTTTCTTTTAGATGTCCCCAAAGAAAGAAATCGCAAATGCTCAAATCAGGTGACTTCGCAGGCCACTGTAAATCACCCCTCAGAGACACCAGACCTACGGGAAACATGCATTTCAAAACATTGAGTGACATTCGAGCTGTGTGAGCTGTTAGCTGTAGCCCCATCTTGCTGGAACCACACGTCTCTCAATGCTTCATTTTCAACAATGTTTTCCATCATGGGCTGCAAGAAATTTTGCAACATTGCAGCATAGCAATCGGAATTCACTGTCATGGTTACTCCGTCCTCTGAGAATGACTCCAACAGTGTGTTGCAGCTAACAGCCCCCATCTTCCAGATATTGTTTTCAAAATATAAGTATTCTAAATGGTATGTTATGCTAACCTGTAGGAAAATGAACTTTCTTCTTTATGTACCTCCATTACTCTTTTATTTTACCTCAAAACTGCTCAATCGGTTCTGCTCCACCCTGTATATTGAGAGGTTGAGATTGTATTGACCTTTTAGGCAATTAGAAAGATTTTCCACCCTAATATGAGTATGGTATTCTAATTAAAATATAATTTCAATCTTTAAATATGTTAATTTAAAACTAGAAATAAAACAATTACAATTATAAGACTATATATAAAATAATTAAATGCAGTGAATGGATATAAAATATTTGAATTGTGCACATGTTTATTTCAAACAGTGTTAGCTCTGTCTCTTATACACATCTAGATGTGTATAAGAGACAGTTCTTGGGGTGCGTGATTTTAATTCGTTTCTGTGAAGTTCATTGCTTATCGTTCGTTTGGTTACTTGAATTCCTGAGGCACTCAGGTGACTTTGCAACTCTCCTCGAGTAATCTGTGGATTTTCTTGGATTTTTCGTCCCAATAATCTAGCAGATCGTGCAGAAATCTTCCTAGGAGCACCTGCTGTCTCTTATACACATCTAGATGTGTATAAGAGACAGCTATTAGATATGCAAACTTTTTAAATCTTTCTATTGTGTTATGTAGCCTAAGTATTAGGCCTTTAATGCCCATTGACAAAATTTTTCTATGTCAAATAGTTTTTGAGTTGTGGGGGTTTTTGTAAAAAAATCGAAAAGTGGTCTAAGTTACCCCGCCGGTCTAAGTTACCCCATTTTACGGTATAAGGGTTGCATAGAAAAGCAACCTGTTACAGTGGTGCGACCGACCAGTTAGTAACATCGTACAGTCACTCACTGCAGTGAGTACTGAGTTACATTTTTTAGAGCTAGTAAATGTATGATTTCTTAACTTCCTTTATGCTACGTATACAGGAAAAATAATAAGGTTTACACCACTATTTTTAGTTTTGCAATATTTGAATTGGTTTTGTTGCCATAACATTTTTATTTCGTGGACTGTCCTGATTAACCCCATTGGTCCCTTATTACCCCTTTTGATGATATACAAGTTTACAGACGTGTTATTTATGTATTTTAATTATTTTTAAATTGTTGATGATTGGAATAACTATATATGTACAGTTAAAGAGGTTGACTTAAATCAGTTTAGTAATTTTAAAGCATGTTATTAAACAAGCCAAGTTTGACTTGTGTCAAAACATGCATATGTGAGGTCAATAGTCAGTACCTACCTTAGGTTTACTCACCAGTATGTGCAGCAGTGCAGGTTTCTCCTCTTGGTTTTCATGTAGTTTTAGGAAAATTGATGACTTGGACCTGCCATTGTTAAAATATGGGACATGGTTAAAAATATAGGCAGGATATTTATTTTTTTCTCCTCTGCCACCCTCAAATGTACTATCTCAAAATATGCTCCCCCTCAGCTGCTCTTAATCTTTTAGTATCATTTGCTAGTTTTTGCTTAAATTGATAATGCTATAGCACAGTTAGGCTCTGGAAGGTTCATTGAAAACTTAGAATTCACCTTTGGTCATCCAGGTAGCATTTGACAATAATCCTTAGGCCCCTGGGCTAAAGTGGGTAGCCAGAATAACTACACTGTATGAGTTTTTGACAACAATGCTCTCCTGTGCACTCTAAACAGTCTGGCACCCAGGCTTTGTAACATATTTTCCATGCACTCTGTCGAACAAAACAGTCATGCCTATGCCATACTGTTTAGCAGTGACGGTTAGACTTATTTTATTGTCTCTTATTAAATCAACAACTTGGTCTACTTCATAGCCTGTATAGTTCCTGTAGGTGTGAGAGCCCTTTCGGTGCTTTGTCCATATTTGGGGTTGTTCTGTCAAATTGCAAGAAGTGAGATGGGGTATGTTGATAGGGTACAAAATTTGTGCAATTTTCAGCACTTACTTTTTGTGATGCAAATTGTCCTGTGGTAAACATAAAGAATATAAATCTTTATTGCATTTGTAGGTTATCTCATGGTACCATACTTCAAGAGACAACAAATTTTTTTTAAAGCAAGAACATTTTGAGTTATGGGGCTTTCCTTTCTTAAATGTCAAAAAGGTCCAAGTCACTCCACTTTACAGTAAGGGTTTGTTGGATGATGAGAGCTTCTCTTTACTTGTGCTTACACTTACATTACAGTAGTCAGTTGATGCCCAAGGTTCCTACAGTCAGCATTCTAATAGTTGTGAGCATGGCATGCAATGGTGTGCTGCTCCTCATTGGGTATTATGTTGAAAAATCCTGTAGATAGTAGGTAATTTAGAATCAAGTTAAGATGGCATTATGATTGTCATTGATGTTAAATGAATTATCTCCTACGGTATCTGACATTAATTAAACTATATGATTAAGCATTTGAATTTCAAATTTACTTACTGTTTTTAACTTTTTGAGCTGGAATAAATAAAAAATTCTGATGTAATTGCAGATCATTGCAGGTTCATGATAAGCTACCCTTGCCTGGCCCTTATCCTAAGTGAGAGCAAATAACAAAGCAAGATGGATGCCAATGCACTGGATAACACACCCTCAGAACTGGGTAAAGTGTTGAACATTTTACTTGATGAGGCCAAATATGAGGATGCCTGTGAAGAAATAGATAAATCTGAGCACTGTAAAGACATTGTCAAGCAGGCAATGGAATTGATTCCTTCATTGGCACGGCGGATACATAACCACCCAAATAATCTTGAACTTGGTCATTGCATTCAAAAGCTTCTAGCCAGCATAGCACAAAAAGGAAAGATCAAGGAGGTTGTAATGGCCCTTTTGGTTGAATTAGATTCACTCAAGAATGACCAGGACCTGCTAATAGCACTAACTCCTCTAAGCATAGCTATGATGCGCCAGTGGACACAGAACTGTAGACTGTCAGCTTCCCGTTGGATATTCAAAAGTGTGATTGACCGTCTCCAGAAAATAAATCTGCCAACCAATCATGATTTTGAATCCAAAGAACAGCTCCTGTTGGATTGTGATCCTTCTGTTATAACTCTTGTTGAAGCCCTTGAAGCCACAATCACTTTTTTTAAGTCATTTTATTGCTTACTTTTGGAGCACGAAGACATAAAGTTTGTAGATAGCCAAGCAGATGTAAGAACCTTCTTAGCCAAAACATTGGTCCATTTGTTTGAAAGACCTCTTACATACTTAGATCTTTACTGTGATGAGAAGATTGCAGAAAGTAACTCCTGTCGACTGGCTTCCAAATTAGTTTGCATGATTAATGTATTACACCCAAATCCAATTAAATTTCTAGAAGGTATTGTGGGGACAAGCAAATGTCTTAGAGATAATGAGTTTGATGAAGATGAGGATGAAATAGATAGCAGTTTCCCTCATCCATTGCCATCACAAGCTCTAGGCTGTCTATTCTACTGCTATTACTATGCACACATGTCACATATGCTGCCCTGCGTGCACCACCCACTCTTTGTGTTCCAGCAATGCCTGCCAGTGTTGTGTGCATTATTACGGGTCCCAGAGTACCTCCCACTGCACAAGGGTGTGCTGCTGGCACAGTCTCTGGTCAATGCTTTGGGTGCAGAGGCTGTAGATATGGTCTCCTTGGACATGCCCTGCCAGTATGAATTTGTGCAGCTCATGTGTAGTGTCATAACCAGAGCAGACAAAAAAGAGCTCAGAATATATGCCTTTGAAGTGTTCAAGAAATATGTGACCATTCTAACCATTGGAGCACGATACCGTATATTTGAGTACCTCTTGCAGACTCTTGATCATGCTGGACTTTTAGGTTTTACTGTAACTGAGATCAAGCAAAACATCTTTCTGAGCTTGAGAGACCAGACTGACTCTATTAAGAGAAACCCTTTTGTGGGGAGTGCCATGTGGAAGTTGGTGTATGAGTCATGCAAGCTGCCTGATGGTGAGACCACTGATATGTTGGATTACAGTGATAAGATCCTTGCTTCACTCAACCTCCTAACATTCCTATTCATACGTGCTAGTAAGTGCAACTTTAGAGAAGAAACCTACACTGAAGCAGACAAACAAATGCAAGAAAAGTTTTCTTTGTTGGACATGCCATACCACTTGCAGCACATTGAGGAAGAATTCTTGTCTCCATTGAGAAATGGGCTACAACTCTCCAGAGAACACTATGAGCAGAAGCTTAAAATGATGGAGTCTGGGGAAGATCCTGGTGATGAAGACCATGACCTTGAACTGTATGCTGGAGGCGGCCTCATGCCCGGGTTCTCACATGACCAGAAGGTTCAGGTCATGCGGTTGTCCCTGTCACGCTTTGATATGATCAACTGTGTGTTAGCTCAAACATCAGCTGCTGTTGAGCAGCTCAATGAAGCCATCAAATCTGCAGCTAAGACAACCCAAGTACAAGCTCCAACATGCTGATCCTCTGACAAATACGACAAGCTTTATGAGTTGAGACTATGGTTGTGGTAGTTGTTTCTATCTTATCATAGAATAGGAACAAATGATCAAAGTTTGGTGGCAGATTCTGTGGAAAATTATGTTACTTCAGATGAGCATAACGTCATGCACACCTTATTGAAGCAATGCCAGGATATTCTTGATATTTGATGATGCTGGAATTTGCTTGGAGAAATATTGCTAAATTTGTGTTGTAGTGCATGAATGCTTCTTCTTGTGGCACTTAGCAATGACCTAGCAACTTTTTTGTTGATTATTTTTGTAAAATATATATGATGAAAATATGTTGATCTCATTAATGATTATAGTAATATTTTTCTTGTTATGTGATATGATATATTATTTCAATCATGTCTGAAATAACAAGCTAAACTTGATTTGCTACAAGCGTGTGGGGAAGATATTAAGCAAGTGTAAAGTAACATTCAAGATGAAATGAAAGGAGAAATGGTTGTGTCTCTAATACATTCATTGCTCATAGAATTTATCCTCCTTAATCAACTGCATTGTTTACACTGCTTTACTATTCTTTGTTTACAGTAAATGAAATGAAGCATCTCCCTCCTACATACAATTCCTTTTCTCAATGTCTATTATCATGCAAACAACTGAAATATGATGCATTTTAGTTTTAATTTTTAATAAAAAATCTTCCTGAAGTATAATCTTTGAATAAATTGTGGAATATAACTGATTTTTTGCCCTGTTTAATGTATTTAAGTTCAGTGTGGCAAGTTTTTGGTAGGCCCAGGGCTTGTATGAATACCCTGAGTACCTGTTTTTTCAAGAATTTTGACTAGAAAAAGATATTTTACAAATGCCTGTGGAAACTTGGAAAAAGTAGCTCAACCACATGAATGTCTTATCTGAAAGTTACTGCTTGTTACTTTACTCCTGCACCCCTGGAGGTGATGCTGATGACGCTGTCATGAGTGTTGCTAGGGGAACTAACTCTCCCCGGGATGTCCTGAGTTCTGTGATGTCATTTTTATTGAATCACACTGTGATGCAAAATAAATGTCCAATTATATGCTAAATAAGTGATGAAACCTGGTCCGCATAGGCACATGATTCAATGAAGTCAAAACTTGATATTTCCAGTGCCACTTACCTTCTGGAATGTTTTCCCTCAATTGTGACTGGAATGAAGTTTCTTCACTAGAAATTAGTGTCCAAGTTGCATTTCACTCAGCCAATTTGATTTTAAATCCACAGCACTTGAAAGCTTTTATTGCATTTAAAATACTTAGTACCTACATGGGCATGATTTATGTCATAACTCGGTTTGTATGTCAAGGAAGTGCAAGCAAAAATCCTACAAAACTGCAAAATCTTGATAAAGCAGGAAAGCTGCATGCTAATGCAAAGTGTTCAGGGCTAAATTAATGTCTAAAGAAAGTAAGAATGGCTCTAGCATGCAGCAGCAACAAACATGGCAAGAATAAGAGGAAACTGTTTTTGTTCCAAGGCTAAGTTCATGTATGGAAACAAGTTTTATGTAAAACACAATTGGAAGTGAAAATCAAGTGGAAGGGGCTATAGAACAAGAAACTTGCTTGTGCATCCTTCTCATGCCAAGCAGTACAACGTCCTGGTGTTTGATAGTGATTTTTAAGAGTTTAGCCTCCACAACCAGGATTTCTGACCTGCAAATTTTAGAGTCCCTGCTCTCTGTATATTTTTGAATGGAATTCTAGTTTTAATGCCACCTGCAATTCACATCCCCTAGAAACTGAAAATAGACAGGTAGACAGGTTTTCCTACTTTTGTTTACTTCATGTTTATTTTTTTTCATTTGTTTATTTAGGTTTTAGTATCTTCAATGTGGATTTAGTTTACTAATTGTTTGTACTGGTGTCCTAAGTTTTTGGACTGACAATGGAGCTGGATTCCAAAACATTTGCTATCATAAGAAATGGTAACTTTTTTGGCTTTTTTTTTTTCTTTTAAATTCTTGATCCCCTGTACTATTGTTAAACCCACAATTTACTTATGTCTGAATTGAAACTGAAAAATTTATTGGATCAGAGGTATATATACTAAAACTGCGTAAATGGTGAGTTGACAATGAATTACTTCCTTGACCAAATGAAGCCACCAGGAAAAGTTATTATAAATAAATAAGTCAAGTGTTGGGGCTTCTATTAAAATTATTAATTTTGTATAGAGGAGATTGAAGGTATTTTTAGGTTTTCTGCCACTGACCTTTCAATATCTGCACTTGCTTATTGCTTGCTCTGTCAGGTCAAGCAATCCATTGAAGTAGTTTTTTGTAGCTTTTTCTTCCAGTTTCTGTTAGCCTTCCCTATTGTGTTCTCTGTAATGTCGAGGCTTCATTACTGCTCACACGCATGAGTTACTGGTACTGCTCATGATAGCCTGTGCAATGATTTGTGGCTAGACAGTTAGTAAGGAGAGTCAAATTGGTAAGGTTTGCTGTTGTTTAGCTTTGCAAGTTAAATGAAATGATTAGTATCCCAAATTTCTATTGAAGCACTGCATTTTGGCACAGTTTCCAATGGTAAAAATGGACTTCTCATGCGTAACATGGTTTGTTAATGGCAATTTTATGAGTCCCATATGCCTTCACTAGCTGTGGTTCTTGGTGTCAATAAGAAAGGGCCCAGCAGGCATTCGGTGGTTGAATCAACGTTGAATCAACTACGCATTACAACATTGAGATTGGGGTGAAAGGAGGTTTAGAATGAAAATTGAAGCAACATCTTTCATGCAACGTCGTACTGACGTTACAATTCAATGTTGAATCAATGTTGCTACTACGACGTTGCTGCAACGTTGAATTTTATGGTTGAATCGACGTTGAATCAACTACACATTACGACATTGATATCGGGGTGAAAGGAGGCTTAGAATGAAAATTGAAGCAACATCTTTCGTGCAACGACGTACTGACGTTACAATGCAACGTTGAATTGATGTTGCTACTAAGACGTTGCTGCAACGTTGAATTCTATGGTTGAATCGACGTTGAAACAACTACGCATTACGACATTGAGATCGGGGTGAAATAGGTTTACAATGAAAATTGAAGCAATGTCTCTCATGAAATGTCGTACTGACGTTACAATGCAACGTTGAATCAATGTTACTACTACGACATTGCTGCAACGTCAAATTCTCTGATTGAATCAACGTTGAAGAACCAACCTGTTTTTCGTCCGTGGCAGGATTCGAACTCGGGATCGCTGGAGACCGCGCGACGCCTTAGCAACCTTGACCACGGCAGCTCGCATGCATGAGCAATAGAAATAAGCTAAAGAATTGTTTGACTCCTTGAAAATTGAACTGCATTCTCTGGTCATTAATCGTACAGTTATATATATGTATTTCATTCAATGTTTGTGTGATAACATTAGTTCCATGCTGGTAAATAGCTAAACATTCAACGTACCGATATTGACCATTTTTCAACGTTGAAATAAGGTTGTTTTCCGTCCTTTCTACTTTTAGTCAGATTTCAACGTTGATCGGACATTTAATTTTGGTTGTTCAGCATTTCAACCTAAAATCAACATTGGTTGAACGTGTAAAAATAAATAAACATTCAACGTACCAATATCGACATTGTTTCAACGTTGAAATAAGGTTGTCTTACTTCTGTTCTAGTTTTGGTCAGATTTCAACGTTGATCGGATGTTTAATTTTGGTTGTTCAGCATTTCAACCTAAAATCAACATTGATTGAACGTTTAAAAATAAATAAACATTCAACATAAGGTTGTTTTACGTCCCTTCTAGTGTTGGTCAGATTTCGACGTTGATCAGACGTTTAATTTTGGTTGTTCAGCATTTCAACCTGAAATAAACATTGATTAAACATTTAAAAATTAGTAAAAATTCAACATACCAATATCGACGTTATTTCAATGTTTAAATAAGGTTGTTTTACGTCCCTTCTAGTGTTAGTCAGATTTCGATGTTGATATGACGTTTAATTTTGGTTGTTCAGCACTTCAACCTGAAATCAACATTGATTCAACGTTTAAAAATTAGTAAACATTCAACGTACCAATATCGACGTCATTTCCACGTTGAAATAAGATTGTTTCACATCCGTTCTAGTTTTGATCAGATTTCGACGCTGATTGGACGTATAATTTGGGTTGTTCAGCATCTCAACCTGATATCAACATTGATTTAACGTTCAAAAATTAGCATAAATTCAACGTACCAATATCGACGTTATTTCAACGTTGGAATAACATTGTTTTATGTCCCTTCTAGTGTTTGTCAGATTTCGACGTTGATATGACGTTTAATTTTGGTTGTTCAACATTTCAACCTGAAATCAACCAATAATCAACATTGTTTCAACGTCAGATGCCTGCTGGGGGGCTGTCAGTCGTTGAAATGAGCTGGAATTTGTCCCCTTGTGCTCCAACCATTAAGTGCATCTCCCTGTTTTAGCAAATTAGTAGAGCATCTAATGTTTATGTCAATTGTTGTGTAAACGTAAAAGAAACAATGGTAGTTGTTTCAAGTAACCTACCACATAGAATGTATTGGAAAATAGTCATCTTCATTGAGGTCTTTTGTTCCTTAGTTACACTATTTCTCTGCTCTCAATAAAATTCTGTCAAATTTGTTATTATGCTAAAAATCATTGCATTCTTTTTCAATGCTTTGGGTACATATATCTAACAGAAATTAATTTCTCCCCCAGTTTTAACTATTGATTCTATACTTTTGCTGATTATTTAGTAGAGAGAAATTTATCAGCAGAAATTAATTGAAGTAATTATCACCCATAAAAATGTTATGTGGGTTATCTGCTCCCCTTTCTGCCCTCACTAGGTCTTACCAGAGCCAGTGGGTCACATTCACTCCCCTGACTCAGTTTATGGCACACCACACTTGTTCCCATATAGCTACATGCAATGCACAATCTTTCATGCACAATGTGGCCACAAACCCCAGTCATTGTCATGCTGTTTGCATGGTGCAGCAGCACAGTAACTGTACTGGGCCAAAACTGAAAACCCCGCACTCTCTGTATATGAGAGGCTATACAATTAATCATTTAAATAATAATACAACAACTAGTAGAATTGTTGATCAGATCATAAGACAGGGTTTCAATGAACGTTATCTTAGTACCACTGCTGGTGCAGTACATAATGACTCACACAGCAATCATAACATAAGTAATGGGGCAAATAGTGACAGCAGCAGCAGTAGTGATACTGACGATATGTCGGGGCAGGAGTCATATGGTAGTGTCAGTGACGTGCGTGCTGCGGTCCTGGACGCTGCCCTGCAGCATGTACCCTTGCTTGGATGGACTGAGGCTGCCATTGCCAAAGGTGGGTGTGGCTTGTTCCTACATATAAATTTTCATGTTGATGTAACCAAGTCAAAGATGGTAGGATGATGAATATATTCAAAAATAAAATTTATTCCTCTGTTGAAATTTCTCCCAAACTTGTTGAATGTGGCCTTATTCACTGACAACACTTCTGGCTAGTGAATGCATGTTGATATCACTTTTTCTTTAGATATTATGGTCACAGGTTTAGGTATCATCTTGTAGGATATTGTGTGTCATTGTCATAATGCATTTGCTGCTGAATTTAAACTTGAAGCAGCTCAAAACATTTTATTTTAAGATTCATTAAAACCTCATCTGCCTTTATGTGGGCCAGAGGAGGAATCCTACTGAACAACTGTACATGTTTTGTTGGCAAATGACAGTATTGCGTGCTGGGTGCTCAGGTGCAGAGGAGCTTGGGTACTCATGTGCTGCCCACAGCCTGGTGGAGGGCGGGGGAGCCGAGCTGTTCCTGTGGCTGCAGCGACGTCTCAATCAGCAGGTCGAGGAGCATCTGGAGGAGTTCACTCTACAGGGAGGAGAGAAAAGGTGATCAATGCTGCTCTCTCTATGCAATTTAGTGCAGGAAATATTTCAACATCAATTTACTGAAGTACATTGCAAAAAATGTTTGAGCAGTAATTAACTGAAGAAATTTAGAGATTAATGCTTCTACTAACTGAGAAATTTATGCAAATGGTGCTTGGATCTCTAATTGACTGAAAAATTGGTTATCGATCATAATTTTCTCAAACTAGTAATTTGAGTGTGAAAATGTATTTGAATTGTAATTTGCTTGCAGTTATTTTGGAGAAGATCAATGATTTTTGCAATCTTAAGGACTTGGGTGTTGGAAAGACACTTTTCATATTTTACTTGATGTAATTTCTATCAAATTGTAATTTTTATTCTTAGAAAGTTGATCAGAAGTGATGGAAATTGTGAAGAAATTCTGTTGAAATATAAGTTAATGAGAAATAAATGTGAAAAAACAGTAGTTCTTTTTATAAGTATTGCTCCCATTATGTTATTGATTCATAATATTTATGCAGGGATGTGATGCTAGAGGCCCTGAAGCAGCGGCTGCTGCTGCTGATGCCATACCGCGCTGTGTATGCTCAGGGCCTTGGCACCCTGGCCACATCTCCTTCCCTGCTGGGGGAGTCCATCAGCATCACTGCCAGCCTGGCCGACATAGTCTGCCACTACAGTGGCAGCAACCAGCCTGATGTGCGTGGTTGTTGACTTTTGCATTGGAATTTCTAAATATATTGTGCTGACTGCTGAACTTTAATGTGCTGATAAATTTGTGCTGAACTTGAGATTTTGATGCAGCGCTTTTCACTATTTTACCATCCATGCTGCTGCCCTGCTCCTACTGGCCTGCAAGCAGCAGCACTGCAGCTTAATTTTCATGTTGATAGTTAATTAATTATGTTACTTTTACAGACAAGCTGGTACGTTGACAGAGCTTCTGTTGCTGCCGTCTACAAGCTGACAGAGCTCTGTTACCTGCAGGACCAGAGTGCTGACTGTCAGGTGTGTAGTTGCCAGACGTCTGACTGTCAGGTGTGTTGTTGCCAGACGTCTGACTGCGTTGTGTTGTTGCCAGACGCCTGACTGTCAGGTGTGTTGTTGCCAAACGCTTGACTGTCAGGTGTGTCGTTGCCAGACGCCTGACTGTCAGGTGTGTTGTTGCCAGACGCTTGACTGTCAGGTGTGTTGTTGCCAGACGCTTGA